ACCACACTGGCTCAGCTGCTCCCTAGGGCATATGTCCTCAAGACACCCCAGTCTCCACTGATCTTCCCTCCACATAGCTGTCAGCCTTCCCTTTTTTTTGCAGGAAATTCGCTTATTCCAGCGCTGTTTAACGCTGTTTCCCGCTGCTATCCCAGATTGTTAGATATCCCGTAGACTTTCCCTGGGACAGGTGAGGCTGCTGGTCCCATATTTTCGAGGCTGCTGATCCCTTATTTTCAAATCTGGAAGTTGACAGCTATGTCCCTCCAAGGAAACTGTTATAAGAATTTTAAGGTCTCAAATATAGAATAAATATTCATAAATGCACACATGTCTAAATATATGAACCATGTGTCTGAAATAGTATGGGAGAGCAATCCTGGAGCCATTTTGACTCTCCCAATGACCTCAAATATTCCTCTGCAGTAAGGGAGGAAAATGGGGAAAGCCTTCCCATTGTCTTTTCACTTGCAAATCCTTTCTTAAGGGCGTGTTTGTGTATGGATAGGGTGAGCCTGTGACCTGGATTCAGGAACTAAAGTATTATTAACCATTACAAAAGAATGGCCAGGCTGCCCAGGTAATGCAATCAGTGACCATTATCAGGTAGCCTGGCAAACAGGATTTCTGCTGTAGACCGCCTCCTCTGCTGTAGACCACCTCCTTCTGTGATGGATGTATGATGTTTTAGGGGGTGGTCTTGGGCTACAGGGTGGGCAATTTCAAAAGTCTATATAAGGGCTTGTGCACCATTGTTCAAGGTTCTCCTCCCTCCTGCGTGTGGTGAGTGGGGACCGTGTTGCAACAGTTCCTTGAATAAAGATCAGGCTTACTAGCCGCTTTGCTTTTCAGTTTACTTTGGTTGGCCTCTGTTATTTCTCCTACCAATAGGGAACCCACTTAAGGACTCTATATGGGCTCTGGAATACCCCATAAGAGAAAAGGAGCAGTTTTTTTCTTATAACAAAACTGAACCCTGCGAAAGCACCCCAGCACCATGGCATCTTTCGCTCCTTGGAGATTGTGGTGGGTACAACACTGTGTTCTTAATTGTTTGTTGCCTTATTGTTCATGTGTGTGCATTTCATGGCTTGCGCGCTTACGATGGAAGTGTGAATGTATCTAACAAGGACTTCTTCCACAAACTCAACAGGAAGGGGCTGCCTGAGACAGATAGCGAAGCAGATATTTAATATTTTGGATGGGGAATGAATGGGACAGAGGCCTCCCATCATGGAAAAACTAAGAACTCTGGATTTATTCATTATAATTTCAGTTTACATCGTTTCAGCTTTTGTTTCACATTGTGCGTTATGTTCCCTCTTCCCCAAAGCAGATCACGACATCTGGCAAAGTTGAAAGTTTGGCACAATTCTATTCCCAAGGCTGCCCCCAACTTGGCAAGTCAATTGTGGGGCTATGCTATCTATTTCAATGCAACTATACACAACTTGTAGATTGAGGTGTGTGTCTTATAGGCTAGGCCAGCCTTTCCTCTTTGGGTTACTGGATGCTGCTAGATTAAACCCCCATCATCTTATAATAATGGCACCTCCCAGCTAGGGATGATGGGAGTTCTAGTCCAGCAATATCTGAGGATCCAAGTCTGGGCTAGATTACTTTTCCAAGACTAACAACAGACGGGGGAATTAGGTGCAAGTGATGCTATTTCTGTATGGGGTGGGGGGGAGTGTGCTGAATTCAAATATCAAGGATGCTAATTTTTGGTTGCTTAGGCACTTGGCCGCCATCTTGGAAAATGGCCACCAATATTGCCATTTTTGGTTTCTGCAAGTGGTCAAACCTATCAAGTTTTTTTTTCCCCATCTTGAATATTCTGCAGCTACCTTTGCAAGGATTACATGACATTAGCTGGCAGCAAGGCAGACCCGGCAAAATGTCTAGCAACTCGGGTAATGGCAAAGGCATGAAATGACAAGGACACTGTGGCAGCTGGAGCTTTTGCTGAAGTGAGATCATCTAAAAACAAGTTGGCTGCAGCATCTTAACGGTGGGGCTCCACACAGGGAATAGCTGACCTGGTCCAGTTCTGTCCCCAAAGCAATTCAAGGGCAGGACTAAAGTTTAATTAGAGTTTTTTGAACCCTAAAAGAGCATCTTGCTATATACATAAGTTGCCTCTATATATTCAGCCTAGTACTATTGATATGCGTGAAGCACCATGTGCTTTCTGGAGGGTAGATCAAAGGAGGTGGTGTTGCGGGAAAAGGAGGTGGTGTTGCGGGCTTCACACCCCTACCATGCGCACAGCGCCTGGAGCTCAGCCTCCACGCGATTGAGGGAATCCCCGGCCACGTCACCCCCTGGACAGCCAATCGGTCAGGGGGCGTGGCCTGCCGGGGATCTCCCTCTTTTCCCGCCTATCAGCTGTTCCTGTTTCCCACCTTCCCGCCCTTTAAGGTTTTCGTACTTGACCTTGCTATGGACCTTGGTTGGTCGCCGCCATTGAGGGGCCTGGTAGGAATTTTTTCCACTTGGCAAATTGGCACCAGCCACTTGGTTTTTCGCTTACCTCACAGCAAATCGTCACGACTTTCTTGGTGTTGGCAGTTAGGCATTGGTATTGGTATTGTTAGGTAGATGGAAGAGGGGAGGAAGCGCCATCACCTGCCCCGCATATTGAAGGGTAGTCCGATAAAGGATTCCGGGGTGTGTGGCCCTGTCCGAAGCCTATGGAGGTGAAGGCCTAAGGCACGCCCCTGAGCGGTGACCCCGGGGGAGTTCCTAGTTGATGTGCATCAGCAGGACTCCCCCTACTAGTGATTAACCCTTCCCGGACTTCAAGCGGACAGGCTGAAGCCAGATATAGTCGGTAAGGACCAATGCCTAAGCCAATACAGCTCATCACCTGTAACCAATAAAGTTGTGGACTTAATTAGCCCATTAACCTTAATATTTGTGTCATGTGTCTTCACTGGGGGGGGGGATCTCACCATGCAACATAAACAGGCCACCTTTGCAGGAAGATGCAGAAAGATTAACAAGGCTGCCTTCAGGCATCAGAAAATTTGGCACCCTACGTTTTTTGATTCAGCACACTTTTTTTTTTTTTTTTGCTAAGGAACACCAGTTTGCTGCTAATTCCTCAGCAATGCCAGCGGGATTTCTGGAGGCCTCCTCAGGATTTTGAGCCAGTCTGTTAACAGGATGAAAGCACCTCCCCCCCCCTCAAAAAAGTAAGCAAAATACAATCATCAGATGTTGCGTTCTTTTCTCGTTGCCAGTTTTGTTCCAACTCATTCAGCGTTCAGATCAGTGGCTAGAAAAGGATCACAGTGAAGATGCATGGATATGAAGATGCCACGAAGCCATCACCCATCATAATTATTGAACTCAGTAGAGACACCTAGGAGGGGCCAGAAAGCTGGCCAATCAAAACAGCCAAAAGCAGAGGGAAGAGATGATTGACAGCCAGCGGGGAGCCACGGCTAATGGTGGCGTCTCTGGAAGCGTAGACTTTACGACCATGAAGAGGCTGCGGTGGGCGAAAGTTGTTGGTCATTTTCAGGGAAGTTGTTCCAGCGCTTTTGTAGTAAAGGGTGTTGACAAATGCATTCAGCTAAATAGAGGAATGAGAGAATGGTTCAGCAGTTACTAGGGGCTAGGTGCTGGCATGCAGAAAGATTTATAAACCGTTTGTCATATGACGCTGAATGTGGAAAGTGTCAGTTTCCATTTCTTAGTGCAGAAAGCATTGATCTGATATGTAGAGATCTTTCCCATTCTAATTAATTCAAGAGGGTTCTGGAGGCTTCTCTGTGTGAAAGAAACAAGCAGAAGGTTCGTGATGTTTGGCTTATTCCTTCAGAGAAGCTGAGTACAGCTGGCTTAAACTGGTCCTGTTATCTCTTCTGTCAAGGTCATGCTGGCTATAATAATAGCCTCGGTTTCTTTTTCTATCGCTCTCCCTTCTGGTGTGGTGTTCTGCACATAGTTTGCTTAGTGTTAAGGTTTAGACTTTTTATAAGTTATTGTAAGCTTAAGTTAAGTCTGCTGCTACTGGATTTCTTGTGGACAGTGCCAATCCTGAATGTATTGGATTTGTGACCAGTTATGCTCATTTGCCTTCAGTAGAAATAAAGCTCTGCTGGATGAAATATTAATTGCCTCTGGTCTATTTTTGGGGAATCCTGCAACGTGTTTAAGTTTTTACTCTGCTAATTATACAGTGGTACCGCAGGTTAAGAACTTAATTAGTTCCATAGGTCCATTCTTAACCTGAAAGTGTTCTTAACCTGAAGCACCACTTTAGCTAATGGGGCCTCCTGCTGCTGCCGCGCCGCCGGAGCCCGATTTCTGTTCTCATCCTGAAGCAAAGTTCTTAACCCGAGGTACTATTTCTGGGTTAGCGGAGTCTGTAACCTGAAGCGTATGTAACCCGAGGTACCACTGTACATTGGAATCTGCCTCTGATCAATACTGAGTGGAATTTCAATGACATATGTCAATATATACCAATATACAGTGGTACCTCGCAAGACGAATGCCTCGCAAGACAAAAAACTCGCTAGACGAAAGGGTTTTTTGTTTTTTGAGCTGCTTCGCAAGACAATTTTCCCTATGGGCTTGCTTCGCAAGACGGAAACGTCTTGCAAGTTTGTTTCCTTTTTCTTAACACCGTTAATACAGTTGCGACTTGACTTCGAGGAGCAACTCATAGAACGCTGTGTGGTAGCCTTTTTTGAGGTTTTTAAAGACTTTGGTGAGTTTTGAAGCTTTTCCAAAACTTTCCCGACACCGTGCTTCGCAAGACGAAAAAAATCGCAAGACGACAAAACTCGCGGAATGAATTAATTTCATCTTGCGAGGCACCACTGTATCACAACATATACCAGGGGTCAGCAAGGTTTACTGGCCATGGGCCAGACTGGTGCAGCGCAATGCCGGAAATCGCGTCTGTGCATGTCTGCGGTGCTGGAAATCGCTTCTGCGCATGCCCAGATGTTGAAAATCATGCCTGTGCAGAAGCAATTTTCGGCGTCTGTGCATGCGCAGACGCGATTTCCACTGCCACTCGGCAAGTCGCTGCACTGGTTTAGCACAGCATGCAAGGGACTTGCTGAGTGGGCTGCTCAGTTCAGGGGCGGTTCGTTGGCTGGTAAAATGGTCTTCGTGGGCCGACCCCTGGCATATACCAATATATCATGATAACTGAAATAGGGCTGGAGCTCTGTAGAGGCATGGGCTGGCTTCATGGTTTTTCCTGCATTGTGATTTCTGCCAACGCCTGCTCTTGTGATTTACTGCCCCCCTGCTTGAGGCAGGGGAGAGCTGAGCTGGCCAAGTTAAGCAATATGGACTTCAACCACTGTGGCTGACAATGGCTGTGTTTTCAACTGACAGAGGCAGTATTTCTTTGAATACAGTGGTACCTCGGGTTACATACACTTCAGGTTACAGACTCCGCTAACCCAGAAATAGTACCTCAGGTTAAGAACTTTGCTTCAGCATGAGAACAGAAATCATGCTCTGGTGGCGCAGTGGCAGCAGGAGGCCCCATTAGCTAAAGTGGTGCTTCAGGTTAAGAACAGTTTCAGGTTAAGAACGGACCTCCGAAACGAATTAAGTACTTAACCTGAGGTACCACTGTACAGGATTCTTGGCTAGATAGGCCATTAGCCTGATCTGGCAAGCTCTTCTTGTGTCATTTTAGATCGGGAGCCATTTTTGTTTTTCAAAAGCCACAGCCTTTTTTGGCTAAAAGGAGAAACAAGAGCAACAACGCAGAGACATAGAAATGTCTGTTTTTCTCACCTGTGGCTTGCTGATTGGGATGTTCTCTTCGAACACAGTCCATTGCACCACTTCTTCGCAGTTTGGGGTGGTGAGGGAGCCCTTGTAGCGATAATATTTGGAGAGTAAGGCCATGTTGGGGAGGAGGTTGCTCAGAGAAAACGTGGAGGCCAACTCGACATAATCCTCTAAGCAGAGAAACAGAAACAGAGAATTGGGGTTTGGATTTGATATCCCGCTTTACCACTACCCAAAGGAGTCTCAAAGCAGCCAACATTTTCCTTTCTCTTCCTCCCCCACAACAAACACTCTGTGAGGTGAGTGAGGCTGAGAGACTTCAAAGAAGTGTGACTAGCCCAAGGTCACTCAGCAGCTGCATGTGGAGGAGCCAGATTACGAGTCCACTGCTCTTAACCACTACACCACACTGGCTCTCTCACTGGGGTGTGATGAAGGGAAACGAGAAAGCGGGTTCTCCTTCATGGAGAGCACGTGTTGCAGTGGGAGCAACCATGACATCCCCTGTTGCTGGGCGGGTTAGTTTGGATGGCCACTGATTTGATTGGGCACCTTCAGTGTTGCTGGGGAAAACTGATTGTTGAATTTTATTTGATTGATGGAGGTGCTATATAGGTCCCTGTGCGCAGCGTTGAGCTTCTTCTTTTCGCTGCGCACATCAGATTACCCGCCCACCCTCCCTTTATTTAGGGTTTGTTTGCGCTGACCTTGCTATGCCTGTCATGGGGTCGTCTGCTTTGGAGCAGGGGCCTGGTAGGAATTTTTCCATTTGGCTGATTGGCTGGGGCCATTTGGGTTTTGCCTACTGCATAGCAAATCGTCACAACTTGTAAGTCACGGTTAAAGGTAAAGATAAAGGGACCCCGACCATTAGGTCCAGTTGTGACCGACTCTGGGGTTGCGGTGCTCATCTCGCTTTATTGGCTGAGGGAGCCGGCGTACAGCTTCCGGGTCATGCGGCCAGCATGACTAAGCCGCTTCTGGCGAACCAGAGCAGCACACGGAAATGCCATTTACCTTCCCACCTGAGCGGTACCTATTTATCTACTTGCACTTTGACGTGCTTTCGAACTGCTAGGTTGGCAGGAGCAGGACCGAGCAACGGGAGCTCACCCCGTCATGGGGATTCGAACCACTGACCTTCTGATCAGCAAGTCCTAGGCTCTGTGGTTTAACCCACAGCGCCACCTGGCTGTGCCTGCCCTTCTAATGCTGCTGCTGCAAGGGTATTCCGTTAAAGGAATCCAGGGGCTCGCCATGCTTTTGTCCGTATCCCTGACAAAGTGCTAGGGCTACGCAAGAGTCCCAGGGAGCATTTGGGGAGAGGTGTGAGCCTGGCGCCCAGCTTTTTCTCTCCCCAAAATTGTTTACCCTAGTGACTTTCGCACGGGTGTGGTTGTCAGTTCTGTTCCTACCTCCAAGTGGGAACAGATAGTCGCTAACCAATGCCTAAGCAACCACTCACTTACTGTAATTCAATAAAGTTGTGGCCAAAATTATGCCAAAAACCAAAACAAAAATGATGTGTGAACATGTTTTTATTCAGGGGTGTCTTGGGAGTCCTCGACACGCAACTCCATTTCAAATGGAGAACGTACAGAAATGCATTACCGTAGGGGAAATCGCTCTGCTAAAATGTGCCCGTGAGGGGAATTCGCACTAAGATCCTGCTGGATTTTCATGAGCACTTTTATTTATTTTTTAAATGAATTGATGTGAAGAGGGAACACAAGACTACAAAAATAAGAAACTGGATTTCTGGAACAACAATGGGATATCAACTCCGCCTAAGGCATGATGGTTAACAGCAACAACCGGGGGAAAGAAAGACATAACATCTTACAAGGACAGGAAGAAAAACCCGGACAGAATAATTGCCACACACAGGAAGAATGGAGATATAGTTTGAGTTCCTCACTTGTAGATTTATAAATCATTTAACGTGTCAACACAAATAGAAGTTATTAATATTGCAGGTGTTGTATAAGAGATTATTATTATGACTGCAATGTAATGAAAATTAATAAGATTTTGGAGCACAGAGATAAAGCAAATAATCAATTCATCAAATCTAGCACACAGGTGGCCACTTTATCTAAATTATATAATTTGGTAGTTGAACAATTGGTATCAATAATTGTATTATAAATTGGCATTGTTATAATGAGGCTATTATTGGATTGTAAGTGAAAACTAATAAAAATATTATTGAAAAGAAAAGAAAAGAAACTGAAATTGGTAGATTCACCCAAACTTGCTGGCATGTTGCTTTCCCTTAGGCAATAATCAATTGGTACCAAGCACTAGTAAGATCCCCAAAAATGTATGGTGTCCATGTGGCCCTGATTCACCCAAATCCAAGCATTCTAAAGGATTGCCTGAGGCTCGATGCTCACCTGCACGAGTGATATTCCTCAGGCCAGTGACGATGGTGTTGTAATTGGTATTGTCTGCATCAGATACCTGCAGAGCAAAAATCTAGTATGCATCTTTGGTACTTGACCCATTGCAAATTCCCTTTGCCCTCAAGCTGTTACCCCTCCAGCATCAAGCAGACAAAGGTAACCAAACAGGATAAAGTCTCCTCCCCACATTGTAAACATGGCCTCCAAAAACCTTGCTTCAAGTACTTACTTCACTTAGAATTTTGCGAATAAACCTAAATTATGGATGGAAGGATGGATGGATGATAGATAGATAGATAGATAGATAGATAGATAGATAGATGATATAGATAGATAGATAGATAGATAGATAGATAGATAGATAGATGATAGATAGATAGATAGATAGATAGATAGATAGATAGATAGATAGATAGATAGATGATAGATAGATAGATGATAGATAGATGATAGATAGATAGATAGATAGATAGATAGATAGATAGATAGAGAGCCAGTGTACAGCTTCTGGGTCATGTGACAAGCATGACTAAGCCACTTCTGGCGAACCAGAGCAGCGCACGGGAATGCCGTTTACCTTCCCGCTGGACCAGTACATATTTATCTACTTGCACTTTGACGTGCTTTTGAACTGCTAGGTTGGCAGGAGAGATAGATAGATAGATATAGATAATAGCGAATGAACATATAGGAAAGTATGTGTCTGCTGTAGGTACTTTAAATAACGTAACAGCAGCTGCTTCTCAGGAGATACCTTAAACAAGAAGCTCAAGACAGCAAGTCCGTTGGGGTGCCCTTTGGCTTCTGTGATGGTTTTGTACTTGGTGTTCATGTGAACAATGTGGAGCTGTGGAAAACAAAATGATAGTTATTCAGAGCAACTTTGGGGATATTCATTCACTGGCAGACTTTAAAGCAGGGAAGGGGGGTCAACTGATAGGTCCCTGGGTGACTTGTCACAGATTGACAAGGGGTTCCGATTCCCAATTTACTTAACGACAAACAGGACTTTTCCCTGCCTAAATCCGGCAGCTGAAATTAAGAGAGTTGCCCAAGGGCTAATTTTCTCTCAAAAGAATGCAAACTCAGTCTTGAAATCAAAGTCAAAGGTCTAGTACAGATAGAGTTGCCATATTTCAAAAAGTAAAAACCAGGACACCCCAAAAGCGTGGAAAAATTTGACTCGCCTAAGACCCAGGACAAATTGCCCCCCTGGACATAAATTACGGTACACCATTGAAATCCCAGTGATGTGGACATATGGCAGCCCTGATAATAGAGGTTTCCAAACCCTGTGTCGCGACATTTGTGTGTCGGCTGCAGTGTGTAGGTGTGTCACATGAAACTCTCCACATTCCTCCAAGGGCAGGAAAGGGGTTCGTTCTGGTTTGCTAGTAAAACTGAACTCCTGTGTCATGAAACGATGCATGTCTAAAACGTGTGTTACCACCATGAAAAGTTTGGAAAGCTGTGGTCTAGAATGTGCTCCAAAACACCCTATTCTTTCCTTCTAACTATGGTTACACCATGGGACGTGGGTGGTGCTGTCGGTTAAACCCCAGAGCCTAGGATTTGCCGATCAGAAGGTGGGCGATTTGAATCCCCGCGACAGTGTGAGCTCCCATTGCTCGGTCCCTGCTCCTGCCAACCTAGCAATTCGAAAGCACATCAAAGTGCAAGTAGATAAATAGGTACTGCTCTGGCAGGAAGGTAAACGGCGTTTCCGTGCGCTGCTCTGGTTTGCCAGAAGCGGCTTAGTCATGCAGGCTCCCTCAGCCAATAAAGCGAGATGAGCGCCACAATCCCAGAGTCGGTCACGACTGGACCTAATGGTCAGGGGTCCCTCTACCATTTATGGTTACACTTAAAACACTATTTAGTAAGACTACCGAAAGAAACTTTGCCACAACCACTGTGATATCATTAGACTTGTCATTCAGAAGATATTTATTATAGTAGTCTTCAGATTTACCAGTAGGGATTTAATCAATAGATCCCTTAAAAGGTAAAGGTAAAGGACCCCTGACTGTTAAGGCCAGTCACAAATGACTCTGGGGTTGCGGCGCTCATCTCGCTTTTCTGGCCGAGGGAACCGGCGTTTGTCCGTAGACAGTTTTTCCAGGTCATGTGGCCAGCATGACTAAGCCGCTTCTGGCGAACCAGAGCAGAGCACGGAAACGCCGTTTACTTTCCCGCCGGAGCGGTACCTATTTATCTACTTGCACTTTGATGTGCTTTCAAACTGCTAGGTTGGCAGGAACAGGGACCGAGCAACAGAAGCTCACCCCGTCGCAGGAATTCGATCCGCCAGCTTTCAATCAGCAAGCCCAAGGCTCGGTGGTTTAGACCACAGCTCCACCCGCATCCCAATAGATCCCTAGCTTGCTCATATTGTCCGCAATGCAGTAGGATATGCCTCATACAATCAACGTCCTGAGAGCATACACAGAGCCTATTCTGATAAGGGATGCCTCTTAGTCTGCCATTTAGCACTTCTGATGGAAATACATATAATCTGCCTTTGGTAAAGAGACGCCGATAAGTTGGCACAGACAGATTTCTAAGATATGCAGGAAAATCGTACCCGTAATGAATTCCTACTGCTATCGGACCACAGATAACATGAGATTGAGATCGGAGATCGCTATGTGATATGTCCCAAGCCTTTGCCTCAGAGATTCAAGGGCAATATCATAACCCAGATGGTACAAGAGGGAAGGTGGCATTAAGTCTAAACAAATATCGCCTCAGTCTCCCTCTCCCGGGGGGTTGTCTGTATGAATCTGCATTTTATTCTGAATCTATGTTACTGGTTTTTAGACCACAATAAAGATTATTCTTAACCGTGTTTTTCGCTGCATAAGACCACTTTTTCCCTCCTAAAAAGTAAGGGGAAATGTGTGTGCATCTTATGGAGCGAATGCAGGTGGGAGGCAGGCGGGAAAAGCCCCCAAGAGCCGCACACACGCTCTGTGCAGCTCTTGCAGGCTTTTCCCCAGGAGGGAGAAGGGACTGACTGGCCACGTCAGTCCCTTCTCCCACCTCGTAGAAAAGCCCACAGGAGCCGCACACACTTTAAAGAGCGTGCGGCTCTTGCTGGCTTTTGTGGGAGGTGGGGAAAGGGACAGAGGGCAGCCCCTCAGTCCCTTCCCCCACCTCCCGGAAAAGCCCCCAAGAGCCGCACTCCCTTTCACTAGCCGCATGGAGCGTGTATGGGGCTCTTGGGAACTTCTCCCTCCTGGGGAAAAGCCTGCAAGCGCCGCACACATGCTCCACACGGATCGTGAAAGGGAGCGCTGAGCAGAGCCTGGGACGCATACAGGCTCTGCTCAGCGCTCCCTTTAAAGAATATTTTTTTTCTTGCATTCCCCTTCTAAAAACTAGGTGCGTCTAACAGTCAGGTGCATCTTATGGGGCGAAAGATATGGTAGTAGTCATGGAGAATGCTGGGAATGATGGTTTGTTAAGAGCACTGAGATCACAGAGCTGCAACTGCCAGCATCTTTAACAAATGACAGCTCCCAGGATGCTCCATGACTGTGCAAGGGACGTCACGGTATGAGCGTATGGTTTGGATGCATAGCTGTTAAGTGTCCCTTATTTGAAGGTACAGTCCCTTATTCCAGCGCCATGTCCCGCTGCTGTCCCTTACTGATGGATGTCCCTTAAATGTCCCTTAAATTATGTCCCTTAAATTTCAAATGAAGCAGCTCCTCTCCCTCCCTCCCTGCCGGCCAGGGAGGAGGGAGGCTCCAACTGTGTTGCTTGGCTGTGTTGCTCACCCAATAAGAAGTCTAAGAACGACTGGGGGGTGGAGCTTGAATGCCTTGTGTGTGGCTAGTTAATGCAAGCTGAGGGGTTTTTTGAATGCTTGACGCCATTTTGTTGCACGTGCTGCTGCAAACTTTGCAGTGCAAAGCCAGGCCGGGGAGCCATCTTAAGTTGAGGCTGCATAGGCCTTGTGGTGCATGTGATTCAGATTCTATTCAGTTGAACCTCTGGTTACAAAGTTGGTTGGACAGTGTTCTCAGAGCTACCAGCATGAGTTTGACCAGACTGCAGGAGGACAGGAAGACTGGAATGCCTGGAACAGGTGAGGCTGCAGGTCCCTTATTTTGGCTGCTGGTCCCTTATTTTCAAGGCTGCTGGTCCCTTATTTTCAAATCTGTAAGTTGACAGCTATGTTTGGATGGGACCTATATGTCTTTTACCCCTTCTCTCGCCACTTCCACTATCTCTGCAGAATTGATCTGTATGCCATTTTGTAGGCCGATCCCACTTCCATGGCACTATTATGGCATTTGACATGCTGTCCCCAAAATGGCTGATTGTAGCTCTGAGGTAAAAAGAAAACACCTCATTATATTTTTACAACCTGTTTTAATACTCTGTATTTAACAGTTAAAGATAATCGAAATGATAGGACTAGTTGCCTGTAATCATCCTAGAGTCTTCTTCTTTTTTTTAATAAAGAAAAAGAACCCTTTCATGTCATCCTCATTTCAGCTATCATGATGAATGGCTGGTTTGTCCATCGTTTAGCAAGATCAAAAGGTGGAAATGCCAGGGGTCTTGCCTAATTAGTAGCTTCTTGCTAAATATAATACAGAGAGCTGATTTAGGGTTATTCACTGTACGCCATTTAATGGAGTGGCTGTTCCCTATTCCAACAAACAATATCAGAAACTTGTCTCCACTTCTACCCTGAAGGTTGGAGAAAGATCAATTTCTGAATAGATCAGTCTTGGAAAATTGGAGGTGGTGTGATTACGGGGGTCATTTCTGGGACTGTATTTCTTGATTTAATTTTATTGTACTACTGTATTTTTGTTTTGTGTCAGGGAACTGCCATCAGTGTCCGAGGGAGAGAGCAAGCTCCAAAGGGATCCCAGAGAGCGTCCCGGGAGTGGGAGAGGCAGCCCGTCTTCTGAGGAAGAGAATCAACGTAGCTCCAGTGGAGAAGGGGGGCAGATGGGGGAATCGGCGAGGCGGTCCCATGACTCCTTGCCGGGGATCAGCGGGGAGAGGAAGGGTCCTCCGCTGCCTACGCCCTCCTTGCGCAGAAGGCTTCCACGCAGGGAGAGTAGGAGGAGACTTGGCGTCAAAGAGCTTCTTTGCTGGAAGAAGTTTAAGAAACGCCCACTGACGGATTCTGCCAGTGATTGAGACAGTCACGGGCGAGTGGCTGCCCGGAGAGGAAACGTTCACTCAGGCAACCCAGCCAGAGGTTGGGACAAGCTTACGCACGAGCAACCCCTAGAACCATTACATTTTGTTTTACACGAACCTCTTTGAGCATAGATGTACTTGGGGGAAACGTGACCTATGACTGTGATTATGACTAAAAACACATTCACACCACAGATTTACAGCACAATTTTTACTTATTTCTTGCATTTATACACCGCCCTTTTCCTCCAAGGAGCTCAAGGTGGTACACGTGGTTTGCCCCTCCCCATTTTAAGATGACAACAACCCTGCAAGGGGGGGGGGTTAGGCTGAGAGTCAGTGACTGGCTCAAGACCACCTGGTGAGCTTAATGGCTGAGTGGGGATTTGAACCCAGGTCTCCCAGGCCTAGTCCAACACTCTAACCACCACACCACATTGGCTTTCACAAGTATACAGTTTCAAACAGTCATGGCTTCCACCAAAGAATTCTGGGAAGTGTAGTTTGTTAAGGGTGCTGAGAGTTGTTAGGAGTCCCCTATTCCCCTCACAGAGCCATAGTTCCAATAGTTCCCTGGGGAGGTTAAAAAAAGGTAAAGGACCCCTGGACGGTTGAGACCAGTCAAAGATGACTATGGGGTTGTGGCGCCCATCTTGCTTTCAGGCCGAGAGAGACGGTATTTGTCCACAGACAGATTTCCACGTCATGTGGCCAGCAGGTCTAAACCGCTTCTGGCACAACAGGACACTGCGAAGGAAGCCAGAGTGCATGGAAATGCCATTTACCTTCCCGCCGCAGTGGTACCTATTTATCTACTTGCACTGGCGTGCTTTCACACTGCTAGGTTGGCAGGAGCTGGAACAGAGCAATGGGAGCTCACCCCATCGCGGGGATTCGAACGGCTGACCTTCTGACCGGCAAGCCCAAGAGATCAGTGGTTTAGACCACAGCACCACCCTGGGAAGAGGGAGGGGTTGTTAAACCAGTCTGAGAACTGTCGATCTGTGAGAGGAACAGGGGTCTCTCCTAACAACTCTCAGTGCCCTTAATGAACCTCATCTCCCAGAATTCTCTGGTGGAAGCCATGCCTATTGAAAGTAGTATCCTGGTGATTTTAATGTATAGTGTGAACGTGGCCTGTGACGATTCTAGACGGGGCCTTTTCAATACTGCACGACATTGCTAAGAAAATCAAAGTTGGGAAGCTCAATGTACCTCCATTGGGTACTGCTGACCATCAACGGTGTGCTCTGAGCCATTTCGACTGAGGTCCCCCCAGTGGAAGTGGAAATGCAAGGCCCGGTACGTGTCCTGAAGTCCTCCTTTGGTGATGTTAATTTGATCTGCAGCAGATGCTCCATCTAGGTTCATGACAACTGCCAAGGAGGCCAGGTCAAAAAGAGAGAGATCAGAGACAGACAGTTCTACACTAATGCAACACAAGACCCCAGAAGGGTTCTCTAAACCTGCATTAGAAAACACTTGGCCCAAGATTATTTATGTATGCTATTACTGCGGCCCGTGCTTTGTTAGCCCAAAAATGGAAAGCGAGTGAAGTCCCAGCCAAAGAAGAATGGCAACTCAAGTTGAGACTTAACATATAGAATAAGAGAACAAGAAGAACATACGTTTAGAGAAGATTGGAAAATGTTTATTAATATATGGGGGGAAATTTGTGTACACTTGAAAACGTGGGCAGCATTAAGATAAATTCAACAGTGTAAATAAGTTTTGATGGATGTGATAATGGAATACTGAATGGTATAGTTTCTGTAAAATATGCAGGGATTTATGATATGTAAAATGAACCATGGAAAGAGAGGAAGGGAAGTCATTGATATCTTAAGGATGCAAAAATGAGTACTATATAGAAAACACTTGGCCCACATTCACACCAGACCTTTAAGTCACTGTGATGCCACGTTAAACAGTCATGGCTTTGCCCAAAGAATTCTGGGAGCTGTGGTTCAATAAGTGTGATGAAAGTTGTTAAGAGAACTCCTGTTCCCCTCAGTTCCCAGAGTTCCCAGAGAAGTGGGATTCATAGTTAAACCACTCTGTGAATTGTAGCTCTGGGAGGGAATTAGATATCTCCTAACAACTCTCAGCACCCACAACAAGCTACAGCTCCCAGAATTCTTTGGGGGAAGCCATGACTGTTTAACGTATTCTCATCGTGCTTTAAATGTATGGTGTGAATGTGGCCTTGGAAAGCATCTCCAGAAGAAGCTGTGTCCTCTCCACGCCCACCTGAGTGTCCATCGTTTATCAGTCTCCACCTGCCAGGAGGCGCCTGGTCGTAGCCTTCAAACAAGATCTCGTCGAGGTTCCTGTCTCGTTGAGTTTTCCTTCTGTCGATGTTAATGGGCGACTGGTTCTCTCCCCCACAGGTTATCATGATGTCCTTCCAGTGCAAAGGACCTAAGGAGAAGGGAAGAGTGAGGCAGAAAGGAAGAGATGGGCCCGAAGGCAGATGAAATCCTTACTCTACAAAGGCTGGAGAAGCTAAGCTTCTTGTCGGAAGGAAGGTGAGGGAAAACTTCCGTGGACAACCTGATCACTGTAGCCCATTTCATTGGTAACCTCAAGGCTGGATGACTGCAATGGACTCTATGTGGAGCCCCACATAGAGGGGCCTGGTGCAGAATGTGATTGTCAGGGATTGGGCAGAGGAGGAATGGTGGAGACCGCCTCCCCATCCCGACCCTTCTAGGGAGGAGGAAGAGGAAGACAGTATAGATTGACAACAGGGGTTTGAGGGAGGTCGCAGCTCAGATGCAGATGAAGGGGAAAGTTGGGAAATAATGGGAGAGCCAGAACAACACCCGGCTGACACCTTGTCATTAGAAAGCATCCCAGACCCTCCATCTCCCAGTGTCAGCTTCGCCCTTAAGCCGGTACCAATGACTGGACTCAACCTCTTAAGCCTCGACCGGGCCAGGCAAGCTAGGAAAGCAGTTCCAGAGACCTTCCGCTGCAGGGAAGCAGGTCTAAGTGCAATGGACTCACAACTTTGAGCTGTGAGCACCAAAGTCAGTGCCAAAGTCAGCAGAGCACAGCAGAGGATGAACTACACGAACGACGGCTCTGAAGCATAACGTCTTTATTCTTTTACAACTACTGCAAACTAAATAAACGAGAATCTAAAGACTATCGGAGGCTACTGGACTGCATGAGTGTTACAGCTGCTTAAGCAGTCATCTTATCTCTACACAGATAACACTTGGATTCCCACAGAGTCAGGCTGGAGCGGAAGAAGCGATGAGCAGATTCCGCCCACTCCTTTCTGAAAACATTGTCAGGAGATTCTTGCAATGGGAGGGGTGAAATATCCATACCCAGAACCTGCCAAGCCTTAAAAGTAGGAGAGCAAAGAGCTCAAAGACAGAGGGCTCATAGCAGCACCCATAGAGGAGATGAATGAGAAAGTGGGAGAGACGGAGGGTGGAGATTCACTCAAGACAACGCCATTATCCAAGGGGCTGGGTTCTATAGCCTCTCTCTGTAAAGACTGAAATAAAAAAGGACAATAAGAAACTTTCCCTTGCCTTATAGCATCCTGACCGTGATGGCCATAATGGGGCGGCTGGCTGAGTACTTGTGGCACCATTGTTCAGGGGCGCCAAGTAGTGGAGGCCGGGGGGCCTGGGCTCCCCAAAAATTTCAAATCAAAAGGCCCCCCAAGTTCTGCAGCGGCCATGCACGCATACCACAGGGTGTGCTCATATTACGCGGTCAAGCCGTGGGGCATCCGCATGGCACATCAACATGCCCCGCAGCATGCGCAAGTGATGTCAGCACATTGCGGCAGTGGCAGTGGCAGCAGGTGATGCATTCCTTGGAGTCCACATCTGCTTCCCCCAGGAATCCTGCCACCCGAGGCGGTCACCTGACCTCCCCTCAAGGGTGGACCGGTCCTGCATGGCTGGAACGAAGGTAAGAGTCTCATCCGTTGCTCTCCCCTCTTCTTCCCCTCCCCCTGGCCCCACCACTTAGCACTGGCATGCGGCTCCTGGAAGGTTTCCCAGAAGGGAATGCGGTCCTCGAATTGGAAACAGCTTCCCCCTGCACCTGAGTTAAATGGAGGCTATTTGTATCGATTAAAATCAACACCTCCGCCAGCAAACCACTGCTACGCAGATGCCTCAGCCAACACGCTCATTAGTCTCTTTGTTGTTCCTTCCTCGCCTCCTGCCGCCAACAGGAGATGCCCTCTGGCTGGGCTGACCTTCATTAATAATCACGAAGCAGGGCTTTTTCTTATTTATAATTCAGCAGGGTTTCCTCGCCGGACCTATCTTTAGTCTGACAGGCTAAATGAGCTATTTTGGTGAGCATTATCGCCTCTGAAGACCAACAGCAGATTCCATTCCAAATTCCTATTTATATTCACCTTCTCTCAAGGCATCCCTGGATTGGCTACAGCTCAGGGGCAGAATATATATATATATTGTGAGTGCACAGCATCCCTACTTTACAGAGGACCGTTATGAGAAGGGATTTAGCTCAGTGCTGGGCATCTATCTTGCATGCAGAAGGACTCAGGTTCAATCTGCATCATATTTAGGTAGCACCTCTTGCCTGAAACCCTTAGGTAGGCTGGACCAGTGTTATTTTTCTAGAAAAAGGGTGCCAGAACTCGCCAAGGGAATGGCAATGGCGGCCAACTGGGAGGTGCCGGAACTGAGTTCCAGTGAGTTCCAGCTGAAAAAAGCTCCGGACTGGACACCATTTGCACCCACGTCTTTCTGCCACATAAGACCCATCTATGATTCTTCAGTTGTTCTGAGAGATATTGTCAGGGACTGGGCAGAGGAGGAATGGTGGAGACCGCCTACTAACCTGACCCCTCCAGGGAGGAGGAACAGGAAAACAGTATAGATCTATAACAGGGGTTTGAGGGAGGTCACAGCTCAGAGGCAGATGAGGGGGAAAGTTGGGAAATAATGGAAGAGGAAGCAGAAGTGGAGCAGCAGCTGGCTGACATGGTGTATTTAGAAAGCATCTCTGACCCTCCATCTCCCAGAACCCGGCAAGCCTTAAAAGTAGGAGAGCAAAGAGCTCAAAGACAGAGGGCACATAGAAGCACCCGTAGAAGTGATGAATGAGGAAGTGGGAGAGACATGGGTGGAGATGCCATTATCCAAGAGGCTGGGTTCTATAGCCTCTCTCTGTAAAGATTGAAATAAAAAAGGACGGTAAGAAACTTTTCCATGTCTTTATAATTTACTAGACAACCAGCTTGGAGCCTCTGGGAGCATCCTGGAAGGTTCCTGCAACCAGTCAGAAGCCGTGATTTGGACTACCGGAACGGATTCCGTTTGACTTCCAAGGTGTGACTGTACACAGTGGTACTTTGGTTCTCGAATGTAATCCATTCCGGAAGTCCATTTGACTTCTGAAAACGTTCGAAAACCAAGGCACAGCTTCCGATTGGTGCTGGTGCCCCAGAAACAATAGCCTACAACCGCACTGGACATTCGGCTTCTGAAAAACATTTTCGAACCAGAACACTTACAGTACTTCCAGGTTTGAGGCATTTGGGTTCTGATTTGTTCGTCAACTAAGCCATTTGAGAACCAAGGTTTGTGTGTGTGTGTTTGTGTGTGTGAAATCTTTATGAGTTTTCAATTACAATCCATGGAAAGGGATTCTTTTAACCTCCAGTTTGCTAGTAAAACTGAATTATTAAGTTTTATGAAATGATGCAAAAGTGAATTACTGTGTCACAAAATGATGCATGTCTAAAAAGTGTGTCACCAACATGGAAAGTTTGGAAAGCTCCAAGCTAGACCAAGAGGCCTGGAGGACATAGCTGGGGCTGATGGCAGTTGTGGTCCGAAACATCTTTTGGGGGCCCAGGTTGAGGGGAAACTGTCTTAGGGCCCAGACACGCCATGCATTTAAAGCACATTTGATGCATGTGACTTCTATCCCAGAATCCCAGGGACTGTCATTTGCCCTGCACAGAGGTACACTTCGCAGCCCCCTTAGCAGACTATATTTCCCATGGCTCTTTGTGGAAGAAATGGAAGTGCAGACAGAGAAAAATTGAAAACCTCATTTCAAGTACTTACCACACTTAGGATCTTGTGAATCGTAGCACCAGGTACCTGGATTAGAGGGCATGGGAGGGACGGAGAAAGAAAACAGGTAAGCTGATCGGAAGGGAAGAACCAGCCAAGAACCAGGACCTGCTACTTCCGATGGAAGGGGGGACAAGACATGCATTCTCCAACGAAACAAACCAAAGGATCATGGAGCTGGGATTGGTGCAGAAAAGGGCATTGATTTCTGGGAGATATTATGCTGTGAAATCGCGTGAGGTCACGGCAACCAAAATAGCCATCATTCCCTCGCAATAAGAAACGGGGTGTCCCATTCCCCCCCCCCAGGACTTTTGCAGGGGAATCTGGCTCAGAAGCAACCAGTTCAGCTGTTTTAAAAAAGAGGTCCTATGGGTTATAAATGAAACCCCAGTCAGGAATCTTGCAGCTTTGTTTCAGAGCACTTGACTGGACTGTTAAGTTTTCGGCCGGAATATTGTCATAGGCCATTCATTATACACAGACATGCACACGTGCATGCACACACGCACACACTTACACACTGTCTCCTTAATCCCACCCTCCCAAAAAATCTGCAGTCATGCTCCTTTCTCCGCTTGTAATGTCTAAATCTCCCCCAAGTCAGCATGCCAAACCATACCTGCTCCTTTCCTCTTGGGGCCTGCAGCAGTAAGAGAAAGGAGAAGCAGAGAGAGAAGTGAATATGAAAAGGGACCTCTAGAAGTTGGGACGCGGGTGGCGCTGTGGGTTAAACCACAGAGCCTAGGACTTGCCGATCAGAAGGTCAGCGGTTCAAATCCCCACGACGGGGTGAGCTCCTGTTGCTCGGTCCCTGCTCCTGCCAACCTAGCAGTTCGAAAACATGTCAAAGTGCAAGTAGATAAATAGGTACCACTCCGGCAGGAAGGTAAACGGCGTTTCCGTGCACTGCTCTGGTTCGCCAGAAGCAGCTTAGTCATGCTGGCCACATGACCCGGAAGCTGTACGCCGGCTCCCTTGGCCAATAAAGCGAGATGAGCGCCGCAACCCCAGAGTCGGCCTCAACTGGACCTAATGGTCAGGGGTCCCTTTACCTTTAGAAGAGAGCTCCCTTGATCTCATGCTTGAATTGAAAAAGGTTCTGTGCCTCATTTCCTCGGGTCTCTCAGCCCATGCCAGGGATGGAACCTGGGACCTTGTTAATGCAAATCAGAAGCTCCGTCCCTGAGCTATGACCCTTCCCTTAAAAAGAAACTGTCTTACACAGAGTCAGGCCATTGGTCTTTCTAGTTCGGGACTGGCTACAGCCTCGGCCCAGTATACCTGACGGAGCATCCAGTGGCAAAGCAAAGTCAGGTGGTACCCAGTGCGGAAAATTTCTTGTCACATTGAAAAATAATAAAAAAATTTGCCTGCAAAAATGGTTTGACTTTATTGCATACTTTTGGGGGGAGCCAGAGTTGTTGAGTTTTTTTTTACAGAGATTGCGTGCCTGCAGCTCTACAGCTGAGGGGAAGCATCTCTCTCACAGACATTCAGTTCCGCACAACATTTTGTCGCCACCCTCAGAGGTGGCACCCGGGGCGGACAGCACCCACCTTGCTCTGCCCCTGGGAGCATCTTCACCCCCATCGTTCAGCCCAGACACTGAGGTCCAGCTCTGAGGGCCTTCTGGCCGTTCCCTCACTGCGAGAAGCGAAGTTACAGGGAACCAGGCAGAGGGCCTTCTCGGTAGTGGCACCCTCCCATCAGATGTCAAGGAAATAAACAACTACCTGACTTTTAGAAGACATCTGAAGACAGCCCTGTATCAGGAAGCTTTAAATGTTTGATGCTTTATTACGCTTTTAATTCTGTTGGGAGCCGCCTAGAGTGGCCGGGGAAAACCAGCCAGATGGGTGGGGTATAAATATATTATTATTATTATTATACACCGACCAGTGGCAGCTCCCCAGGATTTTAGGCAGGGGACATTCCCAACCCTACCTGTAGGTGCCAGGAATTGAACCTAGGATCTTCTGACACCAGGAAGAACTTTCTGATGGTAAGAGCTGTTTGACTGTGGAACAGACTCTCTCGGGCAATTGTGGACTGTCCTTCATTGGCGGTTTTTAAGCGGCAGCTGGGTGGCCTTCTGTCACGGATGCTTTAGTTGAGATTCCTGCATTGCAGGGGGGGTTGGACTAGAGCAGGGGCCAGCAAACTTTTTCAGCAGGGGGCCGGTCCACTGTCCCTCAGAGCTTGTGGGGGCCGGACTATATATTTTGGGGGGGAAATGAACGAATTCCTATGCCCCACAAATAACCCAGAGGTGAATTTTAAATAAAAGTACACATTCTACTCATGTTAAAACATGCTGATTCCCGGACTGTCAACGGGCCGGATCCAGAAGGAGATTGGGCCAGATCCGGGCTCCAGGCCTTAGTTTGCCTACCCATGGACTAGAGGACCCTTTGGTCCTTTCCAAATTCCATGATTCTGTGACTGCAAAGCTCTGTCACTGAGCTATAGCCTCCCCCTGATCGTAAAGAACCAACCAGCCACATAATTGTACTGTCCCTCTTCATTTTGGTGGGATGACCAAATGGAGGGTGGTTCTTTATATATATATATGGTGTCTCGGGTTCAGTGAAGCATGTTAATGCATCTCCCCAGAGGAATTCAAAGTGGGCTGGAGAAGGAACAGCGAGGCATCGATTAAGGACTTGATGGATTGCGACCAAGAATGCACAGTGATTAATCTCCATGCATCGTGCTTTAGGGAGAGTGATCCCTCGAGTTGTTTCTTAGAGGATAAAGTCAGGTCCAACTTCATCACCTGCTATCAGAAATCGTCAGGGATGGACCAACCAGCATTATGTGGGTGAGGAGTTGTCACAACAGACCCCCCAAGTGTCCCTATTTCCCTGATTCAGAGAAGCCGTCCTGGTTTCTGATTTGATCCTGGAATGTCCCACGTTTCCTTAGGATGTCCCTGTTTTCATTGGAGAAATGTTGGAGGGTATGGAGTTATCCGACCCCCGAGCCGTCTGAAGGCAATCCTGTATAGGGAACGTTTTTTAAAAAAAGTTCAATGTTTCATTATGTTTTTATATATGTTGGAAGCTGCCCAGAGTGGCTGGGGCAACCCAGGAAGATGTGTGGGGTATAAATAGGGAAATTATCGTTATGGAATGGGACGTCCCTATTTTCATCAGAGAAACGTTGGAGGGTATGTCAGAATGATCCAAGTAATTTAAGGCCAGCATCCAGGGCTAAAGGCTAGCTCGTAAAAATATAGAACAATTCTATTGCGATTGATCCGTTTCAAATCACCAGACTTCCAGAATGGGAGCCAGAGTGAAATACACACACACACACACACAAAAACACACACACACTCCTAATGTGAAATGGTCTAAGCAGGGATGTGTTGGGGGACAGGAGAGAGAGCCCATGTCTGGAAAATGCTTCATTTGGGGCCCCAGTTGTGTAGAAAGAAGGATTGGGTGGTAATTGATTTTATCTGTCGTATACAGTGGTACCTCGGGTTACAGACGCTTCAGGTTACAGACACTTCAGGTTTTAGACTCCGCTAACCCAGAAATAGTACCTCGGGTTAAGAACTTTACTTCATGATGAGACCAGAAATCGCGCGGCGGCGGGAGGCCCCATTAGCTAAAGTGGTGCTTCAGATTAAGAACAGTTTCAGGTTAAGAATGGTCATCCAGAACGAATTAAGTTCTTAACCCGAGGTACCACTGTATATGAAATCAGGGGTAGGGGAGAGAATCTGCTCAAATAGTCTTTTTCCAAGCTTATATAGAAAAATAGGGGTGGTTGGCTTTTGCTTCCCAACTCCCCAAGGGACTGAGTCCCCCTAAGTCCATGATCACTCAGAGATGAATGGGTGGAGGCAGGAGGCAGTGAATGTAAGGCAGATCTTTATTTTTCTCTTGCAACAGTTTCCTCCCTTCCTTGCAAGGAGGCAAGAGAGACCCAGAACCAAGAGGAAACATCTCTTTTAAAGGTTCGCATTTTGGTGTGGAGAAGGAGGACATCCCCTCTACAAACAGTCAGAAATCACGTCACACATAAGGTGGGGTTGCTGTGGCTCAGGCAGGCCAAGGTGTGATGTTCCTGAGGATTTAACGAGTTTTATATAGTTCCAGACACAGTTTACACAAAACATTAGCATTTGATAAAAAATTTGGGGTGCCCATCAGACATCCCTCAGTGCAGAGCATCTTGGCAAACAATGATAATTAATACAAAGGCGGTTCATAGATATAGGAGAGGAATCCCTTCAGGAACGTCCCCTGACTGCTATCTGCCTACCTGTTCTCAGGCAAGGAGGACTAAGGAGGCAGAGGAAATATTGAAAGTCTTTAGGAGAGTCAAGGTGGCTTTGGGATTGCTCTCCTGTACTATTTTAGACATGTAGCTTATATACCTGTGTATATCTGTTTGCCTTGTGCAATTATCAACATTTTTTCTATATTTGAGACCTTAGAATTGCTATAATAGTACTATTTTGCCTCAACTTCTTATCAAGTCTGCTGCCAGTCTCTCTAATTTAGCTCCATTCTCTGTTTTAGTTGGCCATTCTCAGGGAGACAGTATATTTGGAAGCAATTAATATTCGGGCTGCCAGGGCTGGCCCAGCCGTGATGTAGGGTGAAGCAGCCATCTCAGGCAGCAGTGAGATCTCATGGAGGGTGAGAGATCTCGAAAGATCTCAGTGAGATCTCACTGGAAATTGGAGGTGGAAGTGGCGCAGTGGGGACGCCGGTGGAGGCAGGTGGCATGGTTGCAGTGCCAGCGACAGAGGGGCTTTCACTTCAAGCGGCAAAATGGGACATTGCAATCCCTGTCCACTGCTCATAAACTATCAAATAATCTCCGATGAGCTTATGGCAGCCATGGGGGTTGCAACTGGCCTACTTCGCAAGGCCGTTATGCAAGGAAGCGGATTGTCCTAGTCTCCCTCTTCCATTATATGATGAACCTTGGGCCCAGCAGCCAAATATGTCCCCCTGAGGCCTCTCCATTTGGCCACATCCCTCCTCAGATATACATCACCATTG